GTGGACCCTATGTTCATTGCAGCATTATTTACAATAGCCAAGATATGAAAGCAACCTAAGGTGCCCACTAATAAATGAATGGATAAAGAAAATGTGGTATGTATATATTAATGTAATATTACTCAACCATAAAAAAGAATGAAATCTTGCTATTTAGAACAATATGGATGGACCTAGAGGGTATTGTGCTAAGTGAAATAAGTCAGACAGAGAAAGACAAATACTGTATGACTTCATTTATATGTGGAATGAAAAAAAACAAAACAAATGAACAAACATAACATAATAAAGACAAAGTAATAGTAACAGAGAATAAACAGGTGGTTGCCAGAGTGGTGGGGGATGGAGGGAGGAGAGAAGTAGGTGAGGGATATTATAAGGTACAAAGCTTTCAGGTGCAAAATAAAAGAGTCATGGGTATGAAATATATGGTGTGGGGGATATAGCCAATAACTATACAATATTTTTGTATAGTGATATATCATAACTAGACTTACTGTGATGATCATTTTTAAATGTATAGAAATATAAAATCACTGTGTTGTGTAACAGGAACTAACACAGTGTTGTAGGTCAATTATACTTAAAAAACAAACTTATAGAAAAAGAGGTCAGGCTTGTGGCTACTAGAAGAGAAGCATGGCAGGAGGGAGAATTGGATAAAGTCAGTTAAAAGGTACACACTTTCAGATATAAGATAAATAAGTTGTATGTATGTAATGCACAACAAGATAAATATACATAACACTGCTGTATGTTATACATGAAATTTAAGAGTAAATCTTAAGGGTTTTTATCATAAGAAATTTTTTCTACTTAATTTTGTATTTATATGAGATGGATGTTCGCTAAATTTATCGTGATGGTCATTTCATGATGTATATAAGTCAAATCATTATACTGTACACCTTAAACTTTTACAGTGCTGTGTGTCAATTACATCTCAATAAACCAAGAATGATAACAAAAAACAATTGAGTGTTTAGTTATAGTGTTTCTTACTATTTCAAGCCCCCTTTCCCATATATTATCCAACATGAAAAATCAAGTTGAATTATGAGTTTGGCCAACAGCCATCATTATTCTTTTTTTATGGAAGGTAATACAAAAGATCTGTCAGGGAAGTTAGGAATTTTGTTCAGGGACACAAGATTAAATGACAAAAGGAAAATTTGATTCCAGGTTTCCTGACTTCTGGCTCCAAGCCTGTCCTCCCCGACTACCTAGGTGAGGTCTATCCCAGAAGTTGCCTAGACCACCTTGGTGTCAGAGGGACTTGAGGACCCCAGTACTTTGACACTGGTTTCTCTGAGCTCTGTGTGATTGCCAGTGGCCATAGTTCGGGTGGCATTTGCAGATGAGGAATTCTGATGACTCAGCCTTGGGGCAG